AGCGTAACTTAGAACAAATATCCAACTTTTGATCTTTGAATCTCCTTGCTCCAGCATGTTCTGAAGGAGTTCTCAGACTTTTCAAAAATCCTGTAATATGATTTGTAGTCCTTCTTTAAATTACTATTGCAAACTCTGATTGAACCTTCGTGAAAACTGGCTCAGAAGTTCTAACCAAATTCTGTCTAGGAACGGCCCAGAATTTACTGAGTGCTTCAGTTTTATGGACGTGTCTTCAAAGATTTATAACTTGAAATCCCAACATTTCTAGGAGAATTTCTATTCTGCAACGTTTTAGATCTCATTGAGATCTACAATTATTGTGTTAGAAGTTCTTCCAGAATCATCTTGCATCATAGTGAAAATCTGGCCAGAAGTTTTGAATTTATCATATTTTCTTAACACTTAGAAAAATTTCTAAGTGTTTAAAACTTTGACTTTTTCAATATAATTTGACTTTTGACTTTCTTAATGAAACAAACTTCATATTTTAACATATCTTGATGAAATATGATTCTTGAAACTTGATTTTGATCCAAAAGTCAAAGTTTTACTTTTCAGTGTGCATTTTGACCATTTTACCCTTGTGCCAATTCCAAACCTAAATTGATGTATCAATGCTGCAAACTTGATTTCATGGAAGATCTTGTGAGAAAATCTTTGAGAAATGAGAGGGAAAATTTTGGGGTGCAACATATGGTATTTCCGATGCAAAGTTGAGAAAGTGTTTGCATTGTTTGGTGGGTAAGCAAAGGTGAATTTCCTTTATGTCATCCAAACGAAAGAGGGAATCAGAAGTGTTGGATTTAGTACATTCTTATATGTGTGGTCCAATAAAGACATGATCACTTGGTGGTGCATATTACTTTGTGAATTTCATTGATGATTGTTCTTGGAAAATGTAGGCTTATACCTTAAAAACGAAAGATCAAGTGTTAGATACTTTCAAATCGTTTCAAGCATCAGTTGAAAGAGAAACGGGGAAGAAGCTCAAATGTATCTGAACCGATAATGGGGGAGAATATGTTAGACCCTTCGACAAGTATTGTCAATATTAAGGTATATGTTATCAAATGTCTCCTCCAAAGACACCACGATTGAATGGGTTAGTTGAAAGAATGGATAGAACTTTGGAGGAAAGGGAGAGATGTTTACTTTATCAATCAAAGTTGCTGAAATACTTTTAGGGAGAAGCATTGAGAATAGTTGTACATCTTTTAAACCTCACTCCACGTGTTCTGTTTTAGTTTAATGTTCCAAATCATGTTTGGAGTGGTAAAGATGTTTTCTACGACCATCTTTGGGTGTTTGGGTGCATGGCTTATGTGCATATTTCAAAGGATAAGAGATCGAAATTGGATGAGAAGTCAAAGAAATGTGTGTTGTTGGGTATGGACCTGATGAGTTCGGATATCAATTATTTGATCTGGTTAAACGAAAGCTTATTCATAGTCGTGATGTCGTATTCGTTGAGGATTGTACAATTGAGGACATCGACAAAGTTGAGAATAAAGATCTGATTTTTTAAGATGAAGAAATGGTTTATACGACTCAAATATTATTGCTCCAAACCCTATCACTTTCGAAGATGTTCCGATTCAAAATCAAGTTATGGATTTGAATGTTGATAATGTTTTAAATCCTAATGATATTGTTGATGTAGGTGTTATGGAAGATATTATTGAAAATGAGGTTGATCAAGAGATTGAAAGTGTTGAGCAACCAGTTGCTTCTAATGAGTTGAGGAGGTCTATTCATGATAAAAAGGTTATCCATTTGATACCCCTCGAACGAGTATGTTTTTCTTACCGATGGTGGAGAACCCGAAAGCTTTAAAGAAGTTTTGGAGGATGAGAATAAAAAGGAGTAGATGGATGCCATGGAGGATGAAATGCAATCACTTCGTGAGAATAATACCTTTGAGTTAGTGAAGTTGCCAAAGGGTAAGATAGCATTGAAGAATAGATGGGTTTATCAGATTAAGCAAGATGAGTGTACTTCTCAAAGAAGATACAAGGTTCGCTTAGTGATAAAAGGTCTTAAACAACAGGAAGGTTTTGACTTTGGAGATATTTTTGCTCTGGTTGTGAAGATACAATATATTCCAGTGGTTCTTTGGCTAGCCGCTAGTCTTGATTTGGAAGTAGAGCAAATGGAAGTGAAGACGGCTTTCCTTCATGGTGATCTACATAAAGAAATTTACATGGAGCAATCAGATGGATTTCGAGAGAAAGGAAAATAAGACTATGTTTACAAATTGGTAAAAAGCCTTTATGGTTTGAAACAAGCACCTCACCAATGGTATCAAAAGTTCAACTTGGTGATGATTGAATACATGTACAAGATGACTAAGGTCGATCATTGTATGTTTTTCCGTAATTTCTCTGAAGGTGATTTCATTATTCTCTTGCTTTATATGAATGATATGCTAATTGTTGGAAAGAATATTTCAAGAATTAAAGAGTTGAAGAACACTTTGAGTGAATCTTTTTCTATGAAGGATTTAGGAGAGGCTCAGAAAATTCTTGGTATTGAAATTGTTCGAGGTCGAAATAAGAAGAAGTTGTACTTGTCACAAGAAGCGTATGTGGAGAAAGTCCTTCGGCGTTTTAGTATGGATAAGGCCAAAGCAGTGAGCATTCCACTTGCTTCTCATTTCAAGCTTAGTCATAAACTATGTTTATCTACGAATGAAGAAAAGTTGAATATGAATAACATTTTGTACTCGTCGGTCGTTGGTAGTTTAATGTATGTTATGGTTTGTACAAGATCCGATATTGCTCACACCATGGGAGTGGTAAGTCGTTATCTCTCAAATCTGGGAAAAGATCATTGAGAGACCGTGAAGTGAGTGATGAGATATTTGCGTGGAACTTCAAATTTGAGACTAACTTTGGGATGCAAGAAGCCTATGTTGGTTGGATATACAGATTCGGATTTGGCCGAAAGCTTATATGATCGAAAATCTACTTCGTGATATATGGTGACTTTTGTCGGGGGAGTCGTGGCTTGACAATCAAAGTTGCAAAAGTGTGTTGCATTTTTTACTATCAAAGTCGAGTTTATAGTCGTTGTTGAAGCTTCAAAAGAGTTGTTATGGTTGAGGAAGTTTGAAATAGAACTTGGTGTGAAACAAGAAAAGTATGTCTTGTTTTATGATAATCAAAGTGTCATTCACTTATCGAAGAATTTCTTCTTTCACTCGAGGTCGAAGCATATTGATGTTCATTATCATTGGATTCGTAATGCATTATATTCCAAGTTGATGGAATTTGAGAAGATTCACACTGATGACAATGGTTCAGATATGTTGGCGAAGGTGTTTCCTAGAGGAAAGTTTGAGTTTTGTCGCACGATAGTCGGATTGGTGTTGCCCTCCAACTAGTCGGTCAGAAGAGTTTGTTGGGCTATCCCTCCTATTTGGAGAGGCCCAAATGGATGTGAGTTAGTGACCCGTGTGTGTGTTTATGCCTTTTTTATTACCCAACAAAGAGAATTGGGTTATTCATTCATTGTGTGAGAAAAACAACAAGAAAAGTTAGAGAGAAAACCCTATTCTCGCAGCCCCAATTCTACACAAATCAGTCCCAGAAAATCGGAACTTGCACAAAATTCAACGGTCGGATCGTCCTGAAGTTTTGACACAACGTTCTTGACTCATAGGAGCACATTTTGAACGATGTTCATAGTATTCGAAGCTTTCTGAGTCAATATGTCTAGTCCATATTTGAAGTCTGATTTTCTTGGTGTTTTTGGGTTGTTTTGTCTCTATTGATTATTGTTGTATTCCAAGATTGATTGTAAATCTTGATGATGTTTATGTATGCCTCTAACTAGTGTTAGAGAATCTTGCTTGTACCCATTGTTGATTACAATGGAGATTTTAAGTGGCCTACGGATTCTGTGATTTTTTACTTCTAGTTAACAGAGATTTTTCTACGATAAAATTGTGTTATGTTTAGTGTATTTTTTTATTAATTGTCTCTAAGTCACATTTGATATTTAAAAGAGATTGTCTGTTGATTTATTATGTTGCGTTTGTGATTTCCTCCCGACAATTATACCATTGATCACCTCACAAGTATAAAACTTATTTCCACTGCTATCGAAGCTACATCAGAACCATCCCTAACTTATGTACACATTTTGTTTTCACGTTGACAATGCTATGGAACACAAGAAATCCAACATAAAAGTAGTTTTAAACATACCATAAATCATGCTATCAACGTGTGATTACTTTCACGTTGACAATGCTTTGGAACACAAGAAATCCAACATAAAAGTAGTTTTAAGTATAACATAAATCATGCTATCAACGTGTGATTACTTTAAAAGCTCTAATTTCTAGCTTCACAAAATCATTGCTAAATTCTTTTGGAAAGTAAGTGTGGAAAACTCAACGTAGAAAGGCACATCCAAATCTGAACTAATGATGGATTGCAAAGGAGATGGGAACTAAATTTTCTTCACTTTGGTGATAATTTATAGGTTAAACATGAGCAGGTTCATGGTTCACTCAAATAAATTTATAATAATCAGCTCGAAAATAAGAACTTATAACACAACCAAATATGCTTAGATCTGAATATTACAAAGATATTATGAAACTTGAACCAACACACTCACGCGATCTGCGAATTGCAAATATAAACCGCAAAAAGGTGTGAAGAGAGAAAGCAACCTATACAAACACACAACCACTCAAGAAAAACTGAAATGTTAACCAAGTTAATTGTCTTCTATTGCCTTCCTTCTTTGTCGATCTCTCTATGCAGAGGACGCAGCAACAGTCTAGGTCAGATGCATGCGGATTCCTGAATTCATTTTCTTATCCTCAATGCATGGCCAACATCAGAAACTGGTTGTCGGTATGCCAATTACAATCTTATAATCAATTGGACACAAGAAGCAGAAGAATAAAAACATAGTAGGGCAGAAGAATGATGCCTATGAAAGTTTACTCAATACTACCAAGTGTCACTGTAATAAACTTGATGTTATTGTGTGCTGCGAGTTAACCCTCCTCGTGTAACACTTCTGTGCAAATGAAAGGTTTCGTTAGTCATCTCGCGGGAAATCAGAAAAGTAGAAAGGTAAGAAGGCCCTAATTACCTTCCAGAAATTAGCTGATTCTGAGCACTGTTTACAGGGCCCTTTATATTGCTGAACCGCTTTGCTCTGCTCTCCTGTTCTTTCTCCACTCGCATAGCAGCTACCTCCTTTTCCATGTTAGCTACTTCCCTTCTCATCTTCTTTGCCTCAACTTCCATGGCTTTGGTTAATGTATCTACCTTCTTTGCTAGCATCTAACAAATCATGACCATTGGAAATAATTAGCTAAAAGATTAATTTGCCAAGGATACAAAAATATTATTAAACAGAATGCTAACCTCAATAGCATCATCTTTATCTTTTAGGCTTTGATCTTTCTCATTAACAGCTTTCCTCAAGGCCATGACCTCTTTCTGCAGGAGTTCATGTAAAACACCTGGAACACTATCCTCTGTATCCACTGTTGAGAATTCATTTGCCTTGTCATCTGAATCTTCTTTCCAATTAACATCTGCTTCTCTCTCTCTGGTTTCTTCAGGAGATTCGTTAAAAGAATGGCTTTGAGATGCTCCGTTCAGCTGCATTTTACTCCTCTCCAGTGACCTTGTGCCTCCATCAAAAGATTTAGATGTTCCTTTGGCATTCTTCAATACTGCGCTAGACGATAAAGATGGCCTTAATTGAAAGGATGGTAACCTCTTAGGCAAAAACCCATTAGAGGTTGGTCTTGAGAAAGCATCAGCTCCACCTAGAGATTGCCGACGAGAATTGCTCACACTTCTTCCCTCTGGGGTGCTGCGATTACTGCCATTAGAATTCCCCCTCAAACTCTCCTCTAGCACTTTAAGCCGTAATTGATATTTTTCCTGAAAATTTTAAGTATACCTTGAATAATTTAAGAACTAATATTCTATTATAATATTAATATTTATGAACCGGATTATTACTTTCAACTGTGCTTCAGACTTTGCTCTGCGCTCAACTATAGCAAATTTGTCACGAAGTTGCTGCATTTCCCCCTATACGAATGCAGAAAAACTTATGTAAAATAAGAAAACACATGAAGAAAGGAGAGTTTAATAAAAGCTCAACCACGGCAAGTTAAAAAGCAGAGTAAAACAAAACAACATTACCTGCAAGAATCGACGTTCTTCAAGCCATTGTTTGACAGGCATCACTTTATCATTAGAATCTTTCCATTCATTTGCAACCACCGCAGCTACTCTGTTTGCTGATACCTTGGCACGGGCCAACTCCCTTTCAAGAGTTTTTATTTCTTCCTAAAGAAATGTCAAAAGACAATGTTAAAATAAATATAATATTAACTAGATGTGAGTTGATATAATAAATAAAACAACTACGAGATTCAAATAACCGAAGACGTTAAACATTACATTCAATTCTTGAACTTTCCTCTGATAATCTCTAACTGCATTTGCAGCTGCCCCGCCAGCAAGGACGGCCTCTTCTAACTCCCTTACAGTTTGGGTGAGCTTTTCAACCTCTGCCACCTTTAGTCTATGCATTCTGTCCAGTATTTTATTTTCTTCCTGAGAGAAGTGGTGATGCAACAAAAAGTTAAAAGTTACATATTTAAGGTGCTCTTATGCTGGGAAAGAAAAAAAATCATACAGGATTGAGATACCTGGCAAATCTCAATCTGTTTCATCAGCTCTTGATTTTTATTTTGGAGATCATCCACCATGGAGGCCTTAAGCAAGGAAACCTGAACAGTTTTTTCAGCTTCAAGTAGTGCCGCTTCTTTGGATTTGGTAAGACGGTCTAAGGCTTTGTTATCATCTTGTAACTTTGCAATCTGCAAGGAATACATAGAAGAAAATTAAACCTAAAATCATTTATTAAAAAGACAGATTGAGTCACTCCATCAATTCTCTCTGAAGGATTACAGCATGACCCCAAGAACAGGGGAATACCTCTTGCCGGGCAAGCTTTAGTTCTGCCTCCAAAGGAGCAAGAATTGCTTCTATTGGGGGCATGTCGTCGTCCTTTTGAGCAGCATGTACCCTTCGAAGAGTAGCTTCAGCAGCAAACTGAGCTGCCATTGATGCTTTCTTTTCATCATTGATTTTCTTTATTTCAAGATTCTGCCAAAATATTCAATTTAGTCGGTCTATAACTAAACCAGGGAAACCAAATCACTACTAAAGTGGATAAAGGCTCTGAGTAATACTTTGCTTTCTAGAAGAGATTCTGTTAATTTTAGCTTGCCGTCAACCTTTGACAGTTCATCTGTCAGCTGAAATAAAGCAAAACGAAGAAAGGTGCGTTAGATTTCAAATTGCCATAAAGCATGCAACAAAGCAATATGAAGAAAGTATAAAACTAGCATAACAAACATGAACAGGTACAAGCTTCAATGTCGAGTAATAACCAGATATAAAACAATGTGAAGAATGATTCAAGTTTCCGTAAAGCATGCAACAGCACAATAGGAAGAAAATGTAAAACTAGCATAACATACATGAACAATTAAAAGCTTCATTGTCAAAGTTTAACCGTATCTACAACAATGTGAAGAAATATTAAACTGAATAAAAGGGGAAAGTAAAGCGTCTTAACAATCAGATTGAATGCAAAACCCACTCAAAAATCAGAACCGGCAGTGAAAATATAAATACTATCTTATAGTAGAAGAACTATTGCCAAAAAACAGACAATAGAACATGGATAAATGAACTGATAAAAATACATCAAAACAAAGGAATCTAGAAATTCAGCAAAGCAAAACAAAATTGCTGTATCCTGAAAAAAATTAAATAGTAATCACATCAGCAACAAAATAGTTAAGCCAATAACTTCATCTATTGTAGACTACAAAACCATTAAAAGAAAAATTGATATTATGAATAAGTCAACACACATGTAGAATTACGAGAGAATATGCAGGATTCCATAACAAAAGGGGGAAGAAGGAATAAGGATGAGTTATTCTTAAGAGCTGAGAAAAAGTAGTAGTCATTTAATAAGTGTTGACATAGGAGGATGCAAGAGAAAACTCCATGGAAATGGAAGAGAATAGCCAAGGAAGATGAAAGGAGAAGATAAGAGTTTGTTACGATATATTCAGTATGTACAGTAAAATGTATATTGTCCAAAGGTACATCCAAGTGTATATATATATACAAGTCATGCTATGACCAATTAATAATAAACTAACTATTGGTCCATAATAATAAAAATTAATATGAGCTATGCCCCCTCAAGTTGGACTATGTATACTACAAAGTCCTAACTTGCCTAGAATAGAAGAAAGAGCAGGCGAATGGAGAGGTTTTGTGAACATGTCCGCGAGCTGTGCAGTAGTGGAAATAGGCAGCAAATGAATGAGATTAGAGCTAATCTTCTCACGAATAACGTGGCAATCGAGTTCAATATGTTTGTTGCGTTCATGAAATGTGGGATTGTGGGCTAAGTATATTGCGGATCTACTGTCACAGAATACAGATGCAGGCTTGGAGAAGTTAACTTGTAAGTCACGAAACAAGTATTGTAGCCATTATAATTCACAAGTGAGTGAAGCTAAGGCACGGTACTCAGCTTCAGTTGATGAGCGTGATACAACATTTTGCTTCTTGGATTTCCAGCAGATGAGAGAAGATCCAAGAATGATGCAAAAACCGGTAACGGACCTTCTAGTATCGGGGCACCTTGCCCAGTCTGAATCTGCAAAAGCAGACAGCTTCAAGTCACTAGAAGAAGAGAAAAGGATACCTTTGGCAGGATATGCTTTTAGATAGCGCAAAATTCTTGTGGCAGCTTGATAATGGGGTAGTAAGGGGTTAGACACAAATTGACTAAGATGTTGAACGGCAAAGGAGATATCAGGCCTTGAGTTTGTCAAATAAATCAACTTGCCCATGAGTCTGCGGTAGCTTGAAGAGTCCTCTAGGGGTTGTCCTTCATGAGTGGACAACTTGATATTTGGATCAAAGGGCACAGCAGATGGTTTGGAGGCTAAAAACCCACTGTCAGCTAGGAGTTCCAAAGTATACTTTCTTTGGTTCAAAAAAATGCCAGTTGTAGATCTTGCTATCTCAAACCCAAGGAAATATCTAAGTTGACCAAGATCTTTGATATGAAATTGATGATCCAGGAGCTGTTTGACTCTTTGGATTCCTATGATGGAAGTACCTGCCAACACTATATCATCCACATAGACCAAAAGAGCAATAAACTCATCATGGTTGGATTTTGTGTAAAGGGAGTGATCAACCTGTGATTGAGAGTAACCAATAGAGAGAAGGAAGGAAGATAATTTTGAGTACCATTGCCTACTTGTTTGTTTAAGGCCATACAAGGATTTTTGCAGTTTACACACCTGAGTAGGGTTTGAAGTATGCATACCAGGTGGAAGAGTCATGTATACATACCTCTTCCTGTAGATCTCCATGAAGAAAAGCATTGTTGACATCAAGCTGCTCCAAGTATCAACCCTTGATAGCTGCTAGTGACAAAAGAACTCTTACAGTGGTAAGCTTGGCAACAGGGGAAAAAGTGTCAAAATAGTCAATGCCTTCCATTTGTGTATACCCTTTGGCTACCAACCTAACCTTATACCTTTCAATAGAACCATCTGCTTTATATTTCACTTTGTACACCCATCTGCATCCAATAGGGTGTTTACCAGGAGGTAAGTCAACTACATCCCAAGTGTGATTCTCAACAAGAGCATGTAGTTCAGCATCCATGGCATTTTTCCAACAGTCAAACTTAATGGCTTGATTGTATGTTTTGGGTTCAGTGGTGGAAGAAATTGAACAACAGAAATGTTTATAGGATGGTGAACAATTCTGATAAGAGATGACAGATGAAAGAGGATATGCAACATTGGATGTAGTAGGATGTGATGCAAATGAGTTATGTGATGCAGCATAACAATGATAGTCATTAAGGTAATTGGGAGGGTGGGAGTTTCTGGTGGAATGCCTTAAGGGAATGGATTGTATGGTTTCATTAGGTTGAGATGCAAAAGGTGATTCAGAGGAAGAGGGTGAGGTAGGATTGAAATTAGAGATAGGAGGTGAGGATTGGGAGATTAAGGGTATTTGGTCAAGAGAATTTGTACTGGTGTTAGGAGTATTGGAAGAGGTTTGAGGAGAAGCAATAGGTAAGGATCTGGTGGATAAAGGGCTGGGTTGGATAGAACCTGACTGCTGATTTTGAGCAGTAGGAAGAGGGGAAGATGTGGCAGGGGCAGGGCTGGTTGTATTAAGACTGTCATTGGGAAAAATGGTGCCAATAGGTGAGTTGGCAGAAGTACTAGGGGTTCAGAAGAGAGAGAAATGTCGGTGGTGCTGGTAGGTGTTTGTTCAAGAGGTATATCCTCCAGTATAGGCAAGGGACTGATGGTTTTAAGAGGATTTTGCTGTTGAGACAGATTTGGTTTGAAAGGAAAGAGGTTTTCATAAAATATAACATTTCTTGATACAAAGATGTTGTGGTTCTGTAAATCATAAAGTATGTAGCCTTTTGTCCCATCTTTGTATCCTAAGAAAACAGCTTTCCTAGATCTAGGATCAAACTTTGTCCTATGAGCATGTAAGGTGGTAGCAAAGCTCAAACATCCAAAAACTTTCAAATGTATTAAGGATGGAGGCTGAGAAAACAACATTTCATGAGGACACTTAGATTTTAATAGAGGAGATGGTAATCTATTTATGATATGAATGGCATGTTGAATAGAAAAGTTCCATAAATTTAAAGGAATGTTAGAGTGAAAATATAAGGATCTAGCTACATTAAGAATATGCTGATGCTTTCTTTCTACCACCCCATTTTGTTGGGGTGTCTCAACACAAGATTTTTGGTGAATGATACCCTTTGACAAAAGAAAGTCAGACAAAGCTAAGAATTCAGTACCATTATCACTTCTAAGACATTTGAGTGTGGTATGAAATTGGTTTTCCAAATAGGCTATAAACTGTATTAAGCTATTTTTGGTTTGATCTTTTGTTTTAAGAAATATCACCCAAGTGTACCTACTATAATCATCAAGAAGGGTTAAGAAATACATTTGGCCTAAAACAGAAATTGTAGAAAAGGGGCCCCATACATCAGCATGAAATAATTCAAAGGGAGCAGAAGAAATAGAAGTGCTATTAGGAAAGAGTAATTTTCTTTGCTTGCCAAGATGGCAAGATTCACAAGGTGTATCCTTATTGTTACATGGTATGAAAGGAAAAACTGTGGAAATGGCTTTCATGCCTACATCAGATATATGGCCTAATCTTAAGTGCCAGAGATTACAATTATTATTGACATTAGAGGTGTAAGCTGAAGACTGGCTGGTAGTGTCAAGAAGATAGAGACCTCTGTGCAATTTAGCTGTACCAATCATTTCCTTGGAATGATTCTGCAGGATATGGCAAGTATCAGCACTAAATTGTACAAAGCAGGTATTTTGGCTAGTGAGCTTAGCAATGGATATTAGGTTAACATGGAAGGTAGGTGTATATATAGGACATTGTGGAGAGTTAAATTGGGTGATATAACTACACTACCAGTCATGGATGCAGTAGTATGAGAACCATCAGGCAAGTTAACATGCAAAGGAATGATATGCTTAAGATTTGTAAAAAGAGAACTGTCAAAGGAGATATGTTCTGTGGCACCAGTATCCAATATCCAAAGGGTGCTATTGTACTGCTCTTGAGTGAATCCAGAAGGAGATGGAGATGACTATTGGGAAGAGTCTGATGCAGTATTGGCTGAGGCATTGTGTGGAGAGTTCTGAATCTTGCCCTTTTGTTTGAAACCTGGTGGATAGCCATGTTTGAGAAAACATGTCTCCACAGTGTGATTTGTTTTCCCACAATGTGTACAGATACGTTTTTTATTCTTAGAACCAGCTTGACCTTGATTCTTATTCTTGAAGGCATTATATCCAGGTTTATCAGAAGAATTACCTGAATGAGTGTTGACCTGAAGTGCAATAGCAGTGAGCTCTTCAGTAGGAGCAGATGGAGAAGCTAACATAGATGCAGCACTATTCAATTCGCGTTCTTGCTGAATAATGAGAGAAAAGGCTTTATCAATATCTGGCAAGGGACTCATCATCATGATATGTGATTTAGAGTGTGTGAACTTCTCATTTAGGCCTTTCAGAAATCGAACAACCTGGTCTTGCTCACGATACTTCTTTGCAGATGCAACGGCGCCACAAGAACATGGAATTGCACATGAACACGCAAGAATCGGACGGTGATTATCAAATTCATCCCAAAAAACTTTCAATTGCGTGAAGTAGTTAGAAACATCTAAGGTACCTTGGCGAAGTTTGTAGATATCCTCCTGAATATCTGAAATGCGGAAGATGTCACTATGCGAAAAACGAATCTGCAGATTCTTCCAAACTCCAGCTGCACTATCAATCCAAAGAACCGATTTGGCGATTGATTCAGAGATCGATCGATGAATCCAGGCAAGAACCATAGTGTGTAACGTATCCAAGGAGCATACAAAGGGTCAGATACAGGTGGTTTTGCAAGAGATCCATCAATGAATTTTTCCTTGTTCTTCGAAATCGCAGGGTTTTCGCTTGGATAAAGATAATAAGGATTCGTAGCATTCGTGGAGAAATCAGCAAAGGTCTGGTAAGCCATTGATGAAGGGATTGAGGAAGGAAAGAAGAAAGGGAAAGTGAAAATCAGAATCAAGATTTGCAGAAGGATCTGCAACGATCAAAAGCAGAGACGCTGCGCTAGTTGCAGGGAAAGGGAGGGTAGTGAAACAATGGCTATCAGAGCTTGTATAGCTCTGATACCATGTTGACATAGGAGGATGCAAGAGAAAACTCCATGGAAATGGAAGAGAATAGCCAAGGAAGATGAAAGGAGAAGATAAGAGTTTATTACGATATATTCAGTATGTACAGTAAAATGTATATTGTCCAAAGGTACATCCAAGTGTATATATATATACAAGTCATGCTATGACCAATTAATAATAAACTAACTATTGGTCCATAATAATAAAAATTAATATGAGCTAATAATAAGTCTATTCCTCTTCTTCCTCTTTTATTTGTTTGGTTTTACATTAAATATATGTTTTATAGATCATTCATATAATTAGTCTAAAAAATAGTCAAATAGGGGTTATCCCGCTATCCGCTATCCCCTTTTAGGGGTCGGTCACTCCGCTCCGCTGTCTAGGATTGATAACTCTGAAGAATCAAGCAATTTAGTAGGGTAAAATACAACAGCCAATAAACTCCTTTCCGACAAGATGGAATCAACTGCATGGATCAAACATAAGCCCGTAATATCCTGCCATGAGTCAAGTTCAGTGATAGACCATTTAAATAAAAACCTCTCTTACGTGGCACTTTTTGGGCTCGCTGCAATGGTAAATATCGGCCGATATTGCGGAGTTTTGTTCCATAATCCGCTAGAATGGCGCCGCAAAGCTTCCGGTATGGCAGGATTTTGGCTCTCCGACATGAACCACACTGCTCTAGTAACAAGCTAGAACAACGTAAGATAAGAGACTGTCATCTTTTCTACACTAGCAGCTGTCCCAACTTATTCTCTAATGATTCCTCATAATTATTATTTTCTTGTGTAACCCCTCCTCCATTATAATATTCGCATTTCTACAACACCGAACTTACACTCTTGTTGGCTCTTAACTGCCCAATGTTCAGATCTATATAACATTGCAAGTTTTATAGTAAAATCTTCTTTTAGACTTGAGTACTTTTCAATCACAAATCACCCTCAAGGCATTTCTTGATTTATCAATCCATACTTCACATCTCCTTTTATCTCCTCATCATTTTGTATAATGAACAAATGGTACACAAGCCGAGGGACTTGAGATGAGATATGTTTTCCATTATTCACTTCTAAGTTAGGATCTCGGTCTTAAGACTAGCATTCCATATACTTGTTTTAATTCTATTTAAGCAAAAGTCACGTGCTTCCAGAGCTAGTTTCTATGCCTCAAGCTTTCCCTTTATTTCTTCTCTCAACTCCAAGACTATATATACAACAAAAAAAAAGTATGCATTGTGGCATTGCTGCTTAGATATATTTAATTAGTACATCTAGAACAACGATAAAGAATGAGGGCTCAAATTTTGACCCTTGGTGAATATATATAGTTATATGGAAATATTTAGTTTCACTGCCTTGTGCTCTAATGCTAGTTGTGAGCTATTCTCTACCAGGTCAAAATGACAGAAGTATTTTATTATGAAAAAAAAATTACAGAATGACCTTGAATACAGTATGAAACTATTGAATCTCCAAACTTCCTTTATACTAATAGACAAAAAAAATATATCAAAAGAAAAATCAATATTATATTATCATGAAGTCAACACAAACCAAAAGATAAGAATGAATGACATGCATAAAAGAAAAAGAAAAGAATTCCCTTAAATGAGTACACCCTCTGGACACTATTATAAGCAACTTTTATTTTTTTGATACATTTGATTATTAATGTATCTGATTCATATATGGACCAGATACATTGATAGTTAAATGTACCAAAAAAGTAAAAGTTGCTTATAATAGTGTATACCATAATTTGTTTTTATCTTGCATCTTAGATAGTTGTAATTTGCAAAGGAAGTGATAAAGACATTAAATAGTTTCGAATTTAAGTAAAAATAACTATATTAGACCAAATTGTCCACTTTTGAAATACTCAAAATGTTATAAGCATTATATATTAATATTCCCTCTCACTTTTTCATGCACATGGTTAAGTTAGAAAGAAGAAAAAAAACTAATTTATCCTTGATTGTTTCTATAAATTGATGAATAAAAAAAAAAGAGAACATAAAAGTAAAGATAAAAGAAAATGGAGGAACTATTAAAATAAATGTTTCCAAAGAGCATCGAGATAAATAGAAGGCTCTGAAGCATGGGTACTTCTAAAATGGTGAAGTACTGGTACCGGGTACACGTACCCGTACCTATGCATCATAGATAGAAGGTATCAAATTTTCTAAGTTCCTCATGTGTCAAATGCCCTATTTTTCAATTAAAGACTTTCTAATTTTATTTATTAGAAACCAAAACTCAAGATATAAATCTGAAGCATTCTCTGTGCAAATTATTGTTCACACAGATTCAGGTTATTAAAGCAGAAACTTCAATGGACAAAAAGGGATGTATTACAACATCCAAAGCTTTGTCATTTCCAATATTGCATAGTGGCTTTAATTAAAAATATAACCGGGCAACAAATTTGCTGCATATGTTCAATGCAACGCAAGAAAGAGTTTATCACAATGACTTAATGAGAATGCCAGATTTAACTGAGGCAGAGAAATTCCTACACACTACATGGCACAAATGTGAAGGTAATACTAGTAATATCAATGCAAACGCCAAAGGGGCTTCTTTTCCAATGCATTCCCATGTGTACTTAGACACATAATGATAAGATTCTATACATTCTTCATGTGCAACTTCAATGTTCAAACATTGTCGCCGACTTACCATACACTAAGGATCTTAAGGATTAAGGATCTGTTTGGATTGCCTTATTTGAATTTTACTTATAAGCATAAGCACTTGTGAGAGTGTTTGGGAGAGCGTATGGAAACACCTATCATATGTCAAATTGTTTTCAACTTATTTCTATAAACTCTCTAGCTTATTAAAGCAACTTATAGTTTATATGGAAAAAATATAAATATCTTGTTTTAACTTTTATTGTAGGAATCTATAAAGCACGGAACCGGAAACATGACACCAACACAGACACGATTTTATAGAGGTGTCGGTGCTACATAGGTACTAGGAATAGTTTATAGATAATAAGGATTTACTTGAAATGCATATGCTATAAGCTCTTAACTAAGTTGTTTATCTATCCAGGACGCCAAAGACTAACAAATATGCTAATGCTAATAACATGATCCAATTAGGAAATAAAATAATACTATCACATACTCCCAACATGTAAATTAGTAATCAGTAATTAATTTATTAACATAATAAAATAAGTAAATGGATAAACAATAGTAATAAGAATAACGGCAAGTAAGAATTAAAGTTGACCTCTTCAACGGCCTTTTCTCTGAGTCGTTCAGAGTGCCTCAACGCTTTGATCTCCGCTTGTGCTTCTGATAATTCCCTATCCTTATCTGCACACACATACAAACACGAACAATGTGAATGAACATGAATTGAAGTATTTATAAACAAAAAATTCTTCGGATCGAGCAGCATTTTCGCACCTCGAACTTCATTCTCTAACCGATTAAGCTCCACCTTGACTGGATCCGAACCGTGCAACAGATTCATGAACTCATCAGCGTCCATACTCGGTTGCCTAGCGGAACCGCGTCTCCGCAACGAGCTTTTCCCTTCCTTGAACGATCCAGACACCGAAAGCGGCGCCGGCGTCGCCATTTCTCCTCCGTCGCCGGAAACATCCGCCATCGTTACTCCGATCTAGCCGAAATCCGTTACTCTTTCTCACATTCAAATGCTAGAGACTCCAGATTTGGAATCACGCACGAAATAGAAATTACATATAAGAACTAGAGTTTTGAGTTTAGAGTTTAGAGAGAGAAAGTAGAGGTTGAAAACGGTGGATTTAGAGAGAGAAAGTGAGAGAATAAGAAGATGCTTTTGGTTGTTTCTTTCTTTCTTTCTTTTCTTCTTCGTTTTGTTTGCTTCTCTCTCTTTACCGTGTTTGTTTTGTCTTCTATCTTTCTTTCTCTGTCTAGTTTGTGGTTTAAACGAGTGAGATTTAACGAATTAATTAACGAAAAAGTGAGTGAGCCAGTGACTGAAGTCTGAAGGTTTTGTTTGTGCTGACCGTTGAGAGAGGCTCACCGGTTTAAACTTTTAATTTTAATTAAAAATAATAATAAAATGAGTAATGTTAACATATGTGCCGACCTATGTTAAGAAATCTATAATTAGATAATTTTATTTTTAGTAAAAATTAATTAAAAAATTAATTATATATTTATAATAAATTTAGTATACAATTTTCAAAATAAGAATTTTTTTATTTAGTTTTTAATATATGTCTTTAGAGGTGAGGTTAACATTATCCTAATAAAATATAGTGAGTAGTTTGTGATATTTAGGGGTGATAAAATGGGTCCGGTCTATTGAGTATTGTACGTTTTGTCTGAACTTTAGTGTGGAGTGAGTTAAAAATTTTGGCCCTCATCCTCTAACGTGATCGCTCCACTTTTCCATTTTTTTCGCGAGCTTTTGCGGACATGAATATTAACATAAAATGTTATTTTTTTAGGTATAAAAAGTGCAATGCTTGTGGACTTTCTCCATCCCACACTCACTTTTTTATGGGACAGATCTAACTTTTAGACTTTCATCTTCAACTATGCCTTTTCAGCCTCGTTCCGTTTTTTTTGTAGGCTTTTACGGGGCGGACATACCCCATTTGTCACCCTTAGTGACACGGTGGTATATTCCCAATTAGTCTACCCGCTAACACGCATTTGCCAAGATAATTTTTTTAAGTTATCCCGCATAGTTCCTCCGTTTCAAAATAATTGTTCACATAATTGAAAAAATTATTATTTTTATATTAAAAAGTGTTAAATGATACTCCTTCTGTTTTAAAATAATTGTCGTTTAAGATTTTTGCACACTGATTAAAAAATATAATGATGTTATAAAATATTTCACTTTTATTAAACTAACCTTATTAATGTGTTGGAAAGGTGTAAAAAATAATAATTAAAGGATACAATTGAAAAAATAACAATAATTTCTACATTGAAAAGTGAGAATGAGAATCATTTTAAAACAAATTATATTTATTAAAACGATAGTTATTTTGAACGGATGGAGTACTCATTTTAAAACGGAAATAAAAAATATTTTATTAATTATATATAATTAAAATATTAAAGTTTGATCTATATTTAGTAAAATAATAACGGAATTTTATAAATTAAAAATGTATAACTCTTAAACTAGATGATGCTTAGAATTAGGGGTGGTAAAACGGGTTGTGGTGGTCCGCCCGCGCACCCGTCAAAAAATGGTGGGTGGGGTTAGAATTTTGGACCCGTCGCTCGTCAAAGTCTCCCCGCTAAAGACCGTCGTCCGTCTAAGCTCGCCCCGCAAAACCCGCGTCCCGCCAATGCCTGTCGCACCTATTCGTTTAGCTTTTTCTACCTTAAGTCCGCTCTTTTTTAGTTAATTTTAGAAGGTCCAATTCTTGACGGTTTTATTTTATACATTTATTTGTGAATATATGTCATATTTTTTTAAGTAATTTGGTTAAAAATACGCTTTATAAAAATTTGTTCTAAAAAATAAGTGAAAAATCTAATTAAAATGTAAAAAAAATCTAATATATTTAAAAAATAATAAATAAATAAATAAGCAGGCAAGCCTGCCACCCGCCAACCCACACCCATGACGGGGCGAGTTAGATTTTTATGCCTATTTCCATTTTGCGGGCTTGCCCACCCCGCTCTTTTTTTAGCGGGCTTAAGGCGGGGTGGGGCGGGACGGAGCGAGCAACTTGTAACACCACATTTATACCCGGTAAATAATATTAAAATTAGAGTTATAAAACTTCGACATATAAATAGGATGTTACACTTAGTACTTAAAAACAACTTTATTTAATCGCATGTAAAACAGATATATAACACTTAAACTCGGATGAACCGATAGCAAAGTAATTTAGTCTTTAAAATAAAACAATTTTTATGATTAAGCAGCGGGATCACAATTTTAACTCAATGTCATAACAGCTTTGTTCGACCGAAACAATTTTAGAGGCATCTCAACAAAACTCATCATCATCTGTCAATTCTCAAATTATAACAAAGTATGCAATACACCGTATTAACCAAAATATGTTACGATGTCCCGCGTAATTATTCGGGCAATTCGACTACATACGGCTAAATAGTTTTCTGCTAAAATACTAATGTTTTTGGTTCTGTGCTACTATTTCCAATTTCATACGTTTACTGCTAGTCACTTATTAATTATTTCATCTTTGTTACTAACTACTAATTTGTTCTCCTATTAATACTGCTACTGAAAACTCTACTAAATTACTTTTATTGATAACCTTATTATTAGTTCTCTACTAATTATTAATTCTACTATCTCGCCTGCTACTAACTTATATCTATTAGTAACCCATTAATCATTCAAGGGGTAAATTACCTTAAGAACTCTAATTATTATGCCAAGACTGTTAAACAAATAATTCACCGATTAGGATGCACAAGAGCAAAGAAAAAAAGAATAAGAAATACATGTTCCCTTCGGCACAACAACCCTGCTGCTCGGCACTTCCCCTTTTTGCCTCTGTGTCGGTTGGCATACATCGTGCCCCTCGGCACACCTTGCAACCTTGTGTCGCTCGGCACAAGCACTTGTGCCCCTCGACAAGACGTGTCTTCAACACTTTTGCACAAACTTCATCCAGTCTGTGACGAACGTTAACCCAGCCTTTCAGTATTCTGCTCAATCACTAATTTCAGACCAACATCATGGAATAACATAGCAACATGACAACTATATCAACATGTGATAATCTCCACTAACAGATTCATCAATTTGTACAGGACAGTTAAGCAGAAAATTCATAAACAACCATAACATAAAAACAGGCAATTTTAAAAACAGATCCAGAAAAAAATCATACGCACAACAATTATACACGCAACTAATCCCTATATAATATTCATCATAATTCCCATTATAGAGTCAGAACTCCACCCTTACCTTGGATTGAAGGTCGCTCTATAACTCTCTGGTTGAAAAACTAGCTTTTCCTATTTTCCCTCTTCTCTGCAACTTCTACGATCAGCACACCAAGACTTTCTTATTTTTATAATTAACCTAATTCTTATATCAACTTAACCTAATTTCATTAATCATATTAGACCTAACTTACACACCCCCACCTTACTACGTACCACCATATAACTAAGCCCAACAACTTAATCTTATATTATTCTAATATTATTGCTAATATTAATCAACTAAAATAATAAATCAAATAACAACTTAGCAACATATAGAAACATCTCACACATTTCAATAAATAATTCGAAAATAATTTAATTAAATAATTAATTAAATAATCGGGCGTTACAACTCTCTGCCACTTAGAATATTTTCGTCCTCGAAAATCTACTCGATACTGCCACTCTTAACGCGAACTTCGCATCTCACTCTCTGATCTCCAAATCGTGTTTGGCAACACTTTGACCACTACTTTCTCGACATAACAATAACTCAACACGATTTAAATCAAATACACACAAGTTAATTATTCAACACCTTCGCGACATAATCCTTAATAACTTATCAACCACTTCAACAATATTTTGACATATCAACATTTAAAGTAGTAACAACCATAACACACTTATACTTGGATATACAACATCACATTATCATCTTAACAACATTTTCAACACCAAAACACATACACAATTTCATTCATATCGTCGTATAACCCTTATAGTGATATCAACATAGCCAACATAATCAACTTCGTCATATTATGGAATATTATTCATCATTTATGGTAACCAACAACAACATCACAGAAACGGGAACAAAATCATTATAACTTCAACTTAACAATATAACTCAACAAATATACACACAACTCACCATCAACTTCGTCATATTATGGAGTATTATTCACCATTTATGGTAACCAACAACGAAATCACAAAAACGGGAACAAAATCATTATAACTTCAACTTAACAATATAACTCAACAAATATACACACAACTCATCATCAACCAACAACAATGTTAATATCCTTATAAAATCAGCAAACATTTACGAGAAAACATAGTACCCTGGCACATCATCCTTATATCAACAATCCACCAAATCAAACATGTAGATTAAGACATATCATTCCCATAAGCTTCTGATATTTAGTCCTTCAATTCTAAAGAGTTGTACAAGCATAGCAACTGCGCCACATCATGCTTCAGATGCGCAACTCTGATCATCCATCTTACATCACCGTCCTCATTAAAATTTATGTCAGATATATGGTTTACAAGTTTTAACCTAGTTTCGGACTTTTTTTAACATCCACCATAAAATCGTTGTTCACTTTATATTCTCAATATTTCACTTTGCGACATTAGCTCGCATATAAACCTGTTACTCTGAATTGTTCAATATGTCTCAACTCTTTCCTAGCCACTCCTCTATTAATTCAGACAAACGTGTGAGCGACTATCCTCACGATATAACATCAATTACTTTACACACTGTTAAGATAGCAAGACAAGTATATACTGTTATACCCCAAAATTTTCCCTCCCATATTTCTCAAGACATGTCAAGAATAATCTTCAAGTTGCTCAAGTTGGCTCAAGGTTGGACAGTCAAATCACCTCCTAAGGCAATCAATTCAAAATTAGGGTTTTGTGTTGCATTAAGGTCCTCAT